ACTTTAACGTATTTGTAACTGATTCGCTTTCTCCTCTATTGTGTCTGGCGTGAGTAGGCTCCTCTTGTATGTTAAACTCAATAAATAAATTGAGCTTAAAGCATCTGCATCCTTTTTTGGAGAGAGCTTAAGTGGTTTTTGATAAATGGAATAAAAGGACAATACTTTTTCGATATCTTTTTGGTTTTCACTAGATGTCTTAATTAAAAATGAAATATTCCGTCAAGTTTTTTCGTGGCCTTCTGACAGTGCTACTAGGTGAAGGTGTTGATGTTGAATTAATTTGAAGTCTCCCATCACCACGCGATTTTCGGGCAATTAGCTGCTACAAACAAATCAAGCAATTATCTTCGGAAATTAGTTATTTATTATTGCATTGTTCGAAATCCCACGATTTAGATCAAGTCAGAGATGTCTTGACGTGTGGGAGGAAAAAACTAAGCGGAATTATTTTTTTATTCACAAGGTCGATCAAATTTGTGCTTCACAAAATACCAACTTTCCAAGATTTGTTGATTGTGTGCCGTTGTGATTTAATTAACTCGCAATGATATTTAAAGTAATGAAAAAGTGAAGGTAAAACCCACTTTGTCTTTTTATCAACGATGAAAAATCCACAAGATGATCGTGATTGCTTTTGATATTTCTAATTAATTAATTCTGAAGTGTTTGACATTTGGTAAAGACTGCAGGTAGTACTCATCGTGCAATGTTGATTGTAATTATTTGCAATATGTTTACGCCCACTTGAGATAACAATCTGGGTCAAACACTCATCGTATCAAAAATTCTGTTAGAAACAATTTTTTTACACCAAAAACGTCCTTTTTTGCAGTTGGGGATTTAGAGTTAGTTGCTTAAGACTAAATAAGAAGAAAAATAAGATTGATTTTATAAACTTTAAAAATGTATTAAAATAGTCCAAATAGTAAAAGTTGCATTTTAAATATAAATTCAGCACTAAACAAGTGTACTTTAATACTAATTTTAATACTCTAGTATCCCAATTACCATTACAGCATCCAAATGGTTGATTTTATAGCAATTCAAAAAAAGTTGAAATGTTATATGTACTTGATTTTAATGAAACATTTTAACTACGAGTAAATGCTTGAAGGGTCATTTTAGGAACAAATATGTTTTGTCTAGCGTTTTTTTTATTTTCAACTGTTTATTTTTAAATTCAATTTTTTCTTTTATTTTCTCGTTAACATATTAATAATATTTTTTCATTCAATGCCTTTTTCAATTGCTTTTAAATACCTTCAATAAAAATTTTGATCAGTCAGAAGTTGATGTCGACTTTCTCCTGGTGGCAAATTCTTTTTGTTTTTCTCGTTGTTGTTACCTTTGTGCCCGATATCCGCACACGTGAATAAATAATTCACAGTCTATTTCCCAAACGTTCCAATTTGTCCGAGTCTCCAGTTGTAAAATAATTGAATAATACCGTCATGAAGATGGTAAATAACAGTGATGTGAAAGAAAGTAGGTGCATGCTCTTAATAACATCATATTTTATTACTGAAAATGGGTTTGTCAAGGTTTTAATATTAGAAATATCAAGTCTTGAAGTAGATTGAAACAATTCAACAATCGTTGAGCAATTATTATCGTTTCAAGCGCAAATAAAAGTTGTCCGAAATATTCGCTTGTTTTCGTAAAAATATGCTCACGTATTGTCTTCGTCTTTGTTCGGTAAATTGCTAACACATCAACGTATTCAGGAATGGAAGGTTATTCTATTCTACCGTAACCAAACATTATCTCATTTGCATGTAGATGAGGTGTCGTAGGAACTTGGTTCCGGGCCTACCGGAATTAAATCCGATAAAATGTTATTTTGAACCAGGCTCAAAGTAAGACTTCGTTCGCTAAATATGAAATCCCGAAAAAAATGTTCAGCAGATCGATTCGGACGTAGGCGTACTCCCAAAACCTTTATTTTATTAATCAGCTTCATGATACTGTTTTTTTGACAATACTGGCTCATTTCGTTCAGACAGAACCACCCACGACTGCTCTCCCACTTCATGTGCGAGTAAGCCCACACGCACCTTCCCGTCTGGATTAAATTACGAAGCTCTTCGCGTCCTCAAGGACTCCACGTTTGTTTACAAGAATTGCTGGATACAATTACCGTTTCATAACGACATTCTTGCCACGTTTTGCGAGTGGACGAGTTTTTGCAGTTGTTGAATTATGGGTGGTCCAGAGATCGATGAGCGAATTTCGTCCTGGAGCTTTGGCGTTGCTTGGTTTCTTTGACTTCCTCAACACTTCATAAATTATGTTTCTCAATGGGTTGTACGGTTACCTTAAAGGTGTTTTACACGGGAATAATTACATTGATTAAGAGCTACAATTAGGTTTACAACAGTCGGTATTTAAGTCATTTTTAAGAATTGTGACCTAAGCTAAGTGACCTCTTTTCCCTTTTTGCAAGAGAAAGAGAAACATAAACTTGAACGAATGGAAGATACAGTGAGAGAATCATTTTCCCAGCAATAAACACGTATAAGAACAAAGTTATTAAAGTGGCAATAAATGTGTAGAAGTAATGATATCGATATAATATTGTGTTGTCCTCATTATTTCTAAACATTTGCAAGCACCTACTTTTACTTTTCCTTGTAAATATTTACCTTGTGGTGTTGGGAGCAACACGCAAATGCCTTATAAGGGCAGCATGATATTTATTAGAAAAACTCGGTGTGCAATTTTCATAATTAAATAAATAGTTGAAATATTTAGATCAATCGAATGATACCTTCAAGCATTTAAATGCTATAAGTTTTCGTGACATTTTCCATTCTTGTGATTTACTTGAGCAATACGTTTAATTATTTACAGTTAAGTAACAAACTATTACACGCTTGCTAACACTTTCAAGTGTTAAAACACTGATGATGACCGAATAAAAAGGCTTTTCTTGAAAGATCTTTCAAATGGAAATTATTGAAATAAAAACTAACGCAACTTCTTTATGACTTATTCTACTTACTTGTAAGTACTAATTGAACCTGTCGCTACAAAACGTACTGTTACTGCTCCATTGCGATTTGCACGGACAAATAAAAACTCAAACATCTTGTTAGTCATAAAAGAAAACAACGAGAATTACATTAAGAAAACATGAGATTACAACGAGTTTGTTGAGTGACCACCACCATACTGGAAAATATTCTGCAGTTTTTCATCAATTGAATTTGACAAAGCATCACTAAAACTCGAGTCTGGAAAGCAAGGTTCTTGCAGGAATCCTGAAATGATTATTAGAATTAGTCAAGGAGATGATTGCAAAGCGGATATTAGTAATCACTCGCCGGTATAAAGGCCTATATGAGCAATTAGACATGGAAACTCGAGTTATTTATTAACATTAGAATTGACGGTAATAGCGTTTCTCATGTAGCAGAATTCAAGAAACAACGCCTTGAAAAAATCCCAACAATAGTTGATTCTAGAAACAAATATTCACAAAAATCTTTACTTCACACAAAAAGAATTGAAACACAGTTGTTTTTGGTTATCTCTACATAATGTACATGTTGTAAAAAATAAATTTTGAACTTGACTTATAGCAGCAACTGCTTCACTTGAATGGTTTTGGTTCTGTTAGACCTATAGTTCAAGTAGTTAATGAATAATTATGTGGTAAACCAATCACTGTAATAATTGATTTTTTCTATTTTGCGTTTAGAATAAGTCTATTCCAGCACCCAAATGACGTCATTTGAGTGCTGGAATAAGTCGTTGGCGTTAATTTAATTTTAGTGACGGACTTTATTCACTATTCACTTTCAAATAAATGTCGCCATCCGTCGCAAAATTCTCTAAAAAAAATAATTAAATTTTCGTCTTTTAATTTATAAAATGATATAAGCGGCAAAATAGAAAAAAATGTATAATGCACTTGTTGTAGAAGGTTCTTCAAGCACTCATTTGTTCCTCAACTCGCCGTTAAGCGGTTCGTTGCGAAATTTCAAATTTGTGCTTGAATTCAACTTGTACTTTAATACACCATTCTGATTCATAAAAATGTGTTTAGTGGCATCACATCAAAGTTTTAGTTTTAATACGCTAATTATCCTTCAACAATAATAATTAATAGCGACCTCAAAAACAATTACACAATACTGACCTCACTTGAGTCGCTCGATATAGAATCGAGACTTCCTTAATTCTATAATTAGAAGCCGATCGCTGAATGTTCAAATATTCATATCAGGGTTTCCTCGTTGTATAAAATCCACCGAGAGGAAGTGAGCGTGTTAGTATTTTTAATTTTTATTTAACTGTATGTCACAAATACCATCTTGGGTCCTCATAGTAACATGTTATTAGTATTACAGAGAGACGATAAATCTAACACGGATATTTATCATCCGGATAATTATATAGCGTATTTACACCATTAGGTGAAAATGTTCGTTTCTTGACAAGGGGAGTGGCAAACTAATAGAATTATAAACTTTTTTTTCTAATAGCTTAATTGATTTATTATCAAAGAAATGCAAATAGATAGTTATTGCATATTTTACAGCTTATTCTGAATTATGATCCCCGTATTCCCAGTCACTCGATATTTACACCATTGATGAATAGCGGTTAGTTCGGCACAAATTAGTCGCCAATCCTCTTCATTAGTCAAGAATTTCGATAAAATCTCCTCGATAATAATTACCGTTTTCAAGCAATCTGTTAACGAATTCACCAGCAAGTGCATCTCAGATTTACAGCCGCTAAAATAAGCGGAAAATTGCAATAATATCATCATCACATGCCTGCCTATATTCGTAACGCGGATGTTAGTCAACAAAATCGGCAAATTATTACTTTGCTCATTAAGACTAACGGCAAATAGTATACTCTCCCGAAACAGTTATGTATTAAATTAATTGTTTTTCAGAGGACTATAAATTTATGTAGCATCCTCTTGCCATAATTGTCAACAGTGTCATAAATCATAAAAATCACAAGGAGCAACAATTGTTTTTTGTCCTTATATTTTGCAAATATCTTCTGAATTAACAACTAAATGGAAAGCCAGACTCTGCGAACTCGTTAAAAATTGTGATCCAAGCTTTCGATTTTGAACTTCTGCTGCGGGCGCGGTGGCGATCAACCGCGCATACTCGGCGATCTAAACGTAATTTTGTAGCTTTCTCCCGCGTCTAGTCTCGTAGAGCGGTCTCCGGTACAAGGTTGCCCGCTCGATTGCCAACAATGACCGAATCTGAATTAATAATTGAATTGGTACGCGAGCACCCAATTCTGTACGACACGCATCACCTGGAGTACAAAAATCTGAAAAAAAAGGACAAACTTTGGAACGAACTGGCCGACTCCACGATTGGATGTGATAATGGTAAGTAACGGTTGTGAGCTGAAAGTCTCTGACGAGTTGTATTCAAAGGTGAGGAATTGAAGAAGAAGTGGAAGAATTTGAGAGATTCATACAGTAAGCATTTACGATGGGAGAATTCTGAGCACAAGTCGAAAAGTCTGGACAAGTATAAAACGTGGCCTTGGGTTAAGCAGATGGAGTTTCTCCGGCCGTTTTTTCCCACTGTGGAACCTTCTAAAGAAGTTCGGGTTACTCACAGACAAGATAGTTTGGAAGAGTCCGATGTTGAAGAACAGAAAACACGACGTGAGAAAACTTCGACACCTATACCACCGCCCAAGAAGAAAAAAGTCGAAACGCCCGATATCAACTATTCAGAAAAAACACAATGTTTTGATGTTTTGGGTTTAGACGATATTGATTTGATTTGTATGGGCTATGCTAAGACGATAAAAAAATTTTCACCGAAAAGACAGACAATGGTGAAATTCAAGTTATCGCAAATTTTGATGCAGGAGGAGTTGGCACAGCAGGAGGAAAATGAACAGAAAAATGTAAGAAGAGAAGATTCTCCACTTTTGTCGTCAACGAAAACCGAAAAAGAATATTAGTTTATTATAGTTATAGAGTTTGAATGTATTTTTCTAAAAACAATAAATTTATCAACTCAAATGAAGTTTTTTTTCACCAAATATGACAATGAGAAAATGCTATTAGAACAGCTAGGAAATTTGCATAAAAGATAAAATATGAGTTGTTTATTTAATTGAGAAAGCGTTCAATAAATCACTGTTTATGCAAAAGAGATATATGTATAAGAATGCGATGTCTTAAATTGACAAAAATTTCATAATTTGGTCTTAATGACACTCGCCGCCGTGTCGAAGTGTCGAGCTTGTGGTATGGCAGGTGCTCATCACCTGGAGCACCACGAACAGGAGGGCCAGGTGAGCCCCACACGGCACGAGCCGGGCCACAGCTGCCATCCAGTTGTGTTCCGCGGACCACTTTTTGACATTTGTGCACCGGAACCGCCACTTTTTATGCCCGTTATTGATATATTTAATTTGTTACTGGACTATTGTTACGCATTACGCATCAGTACCCCATTAACACTGACAATTTTTACGCCCTAGAACCTTAATGACTTACATACTATACAATTTTGAGGCAATTTATTTACTGTAACCGGTTTCGGTAACGCGAGATTTTCTAACAAGCAATGATTTATTGGAAGATGCAATTAACGCCATGTTTGAGTTTACAACATTTGAATAAACCAATAAATTATCTTTAAATCACTCCTGAATTCTTCGGGTAGGTACTTGAGCAGTGCCAAAGAAGTGATATTTGTACAAAAATGGTACTTGCTGAGTACTTGATCCGGTTGGAAGTATCGACTTAAGTGCTAATGAATTGTGTGGTCTGCTTAAACAACGCCACCTGTCTTTCAGCTGGACTACCTGCACCTGTATTCTTTCTTTCGCCTTTTGTGGCCAATGTCTGCACTTGTTCCATCTCTGTAGCTCCTCTACTTCTTTGAATCCTAAATTAACAACTACATTACGAGTACCACAGCCTTTGGCGACTATATTTGCACATAAATGAAAACTTTGACACCCATACATTAATGTCACAACATTTTTTCAAATAATAATTAAGTATATCTCAACTTGTCTACTAGTTAACACCTAAACATAAATTTATAATTTTTTTCTACTACCTGCCACATCTATCATCTATTACATTTTAATTACTAGTGCAATTGTTAATTTGAATCCATTTTGATTTTACAGATTAATGCTGAATTATGATTATTTTATTAGATTTTGACACATATTGATTTGAATTGTAATTATTACGGGTACCAAGGTTGCAGTTATGATTGATTAACGCTAATTAATCAATTTTTTAATCGCTGGTCACTTAATTTGTCGATCATTCATCACTCGAACAATCATTCTGTACAATATAATAATACAAAACACTTGGCGGCTCTTTATTCTTAGTATTACGAATATCTCCCGCAATGATTTTTTTAAATTCTGTTCGTTAACAGAAAAGCGTTAAAACAGCAAGATTAAGACATTGTAGGCGCTGCCATGAATATTTATATTTTCTCTTCAGTCATTTAATTTCATTTGTTTGTTAATAGACAAAATGCAAATATTTAACGTACAAATTTGTTTATTTATTAAACAACGAACTGGTTTCTAAGCGAATCATATCTCGGAGGTGTTGATTGGCAACATTTAGCACTGAAAACGTCTAAAACAACGAAAAAAGATGCTTTTAGCGTTTCGAAGAGCCACTCCAGGCCAATTTGCTGAAAATGATACGGTAAGAATCAAGAGTGACTGGTCCCAAGTTTAGAATTCCAAGAAGTAGGGTGGCAAGCAAGCTGTTTCTTGAGCATTTTGTGAGTGGTATGTTCGACAACACGAGGATAGAAGTAAAACTGTCGGCATATGGATATTATTTATGCTTGCGGTTAGTCCTCGAACGAAAATGATTGTTTAAAAGCTTCTTCAGGAAGGTCAGGTGATGTCTGGCCGACTGGGTTATTAGCTACGGTAGACTTGCAACACATTTGGCAAAATTTCCATAAATCATCCGGTTTTCAGGGGGAAAAATAGTAATGCTTCAATTGGAATAAGTAGAGTTTTTGATTAATGATTTGTTTATTAGACAGGTTTGATTATTTATAAGTTGCCACCAGCGATTTTTTGATTGATTGCTTGCTTTAAAAGTGTGATAACTAAATTAGTACCGACACAAATTTTTGAAGGAAAAAATTAACAAGTAATTAGTCTGTTTCTGTATGTGAGTTTTTTTACTCAAGCATGAAGACGATCCCGATGTTAATTATAGAAGAAAGTGATAATAGCTAATTAACCAAATTAGCACTGTTATCTCTAGTCTAGCAACTGATTGAGATAAATCAGTGAAAAAATCTGACGCAGATTTGCATAATACATTATGCATGTCGTGAATATAGAATAATTAATTTATGTTGACGTTAATTATTTGTTTACAGAAGCTCTCATGTAAAATTTTTTCAAATAAATTCACTCCCAGTCGAAGCAAATTTGTCTTCTAAGCATTCAACAAAAGGTACAGATGTGACAAGGCCTGTCGAAAAATTTACAACAAGATCAATCGAATTCATTGTTGGAGTTTGGTCGGTAGTGGTGTCCCTGGGGTACATTTTGACAAGAACTCCGCCCGCGCATTCTACCAACACTTCTTCAGTGACCTTGTACATCCGGCACCCGGTTCTTGTTAGAACTTATCAACACATCGTTACATTCTTCTCGGGGCATTTTTACGGCACTCGCCTTTTTCTTTTATGAATGAAATATCCGAATTGAGCCAGTCGGGACCAATTATCAACAAGCACAAGTAAACAGGTGTGACAAGATTTGATTATGGAGTGATAACATCCGAGAGCTAAAGTTACCTCTTTATAAATTTCAGAACAACACACGAGAAAGATAATTTACTTCTCAAAAAATAAATGTTTGCGAAAAATTTTCAAAAAATGGAGATTGGTGAGCAGTGGCGTTACTGCAGGGGCTGCAGAGTCCAAGTCACGAATAAAAGCTAAACGCAAACAACCAAGTTCATAGATTATTTAGATAAGCCACTGGCTGCTTGAGTAGAAATACGGATAAAAATTGTTAAATGTCTTGAAAAAACATATTTTTAAAAAGTTTTGTTGATAAGTGGTTGAAGATTGCGAGCAACTGAATGTTCTTTCTGCTGTAGGTACAACATATCCTATTCCTTTCTAAGACAAGTTGCTCTCGGCATATTTATGACCAAGTAAAGTGAATGTGCGGTGGCAACACGTGATACTATTTATATTTATTGTTCTATTCCCACGTTATTGTATTCTTTCTTTTTTCACCGGTTTCATTTCCCGCTAATGCCTCAACGACACGAAACAATCGTACCGAAAAAGTGTTTGCAAATAGCATTTTTGTGCCCGAATTGAAAATTCTTGCTGCATATCGACCGTTTCTCACGATTTCATCTTTTCAAGACGCTTCTTTTGTACGCACAGAAAAGAACTTTTCACAAACAGTTACCCTGCCTCTGCTACCTACGGTTTATTGCCGGTTGCATCTATAGCAAAAAATTGTTTTGTTCGATTATTAGAATTTACCTCCGCATACCGACGTAATTACCCAACTGATAGCAAATAAATATCTTGCGAGCGGGTAATTATCACAATTTTTCATGTTTATTCTTAGAGAGACAGATCCTTTTCATGATTTTTTATAAAGCCACACAAATCGAAAAAAATTCACGTCCCGGTCGCCTCTTGTGCATTCAAATCAAATCCAATTATTCATCGTTTTTACGATTCACTCGAAAAAAATGACATATACCTGGTCCTGTAAGCACGTATGTACATGCGGAAAAACGTAAATTTCAATACAATTGACAATATCATGTCAGTCTGTGTTTCTTCAATTCATTTGTGTCATGAATAATCAATTGTTCTCTGATTGAGGAACACTCCGCAAATTTTATCTCATATTTCCTTATCATTCGCCTACCCTCGAATCTAACACGTTTTAACTAGGGTTCCCAAGGTTGATGGGAACTTAGCGCCTCCCACAGTCACAGTAAAATAAGGGATACAAATCATAACAACCCTTGGCGAAGGCAGGGGCGGCTCGTAGCGAAATTTAGATACATATTTTATTGTAATCGGAGAAAATAAGAGGTGACTGAACCCGGAATTTTTTTTTAAATAGTGTAGTGTTCCATTGAGACTACTACTTGCTTTATAATATTGCAAAAGTTGTAAATTGGTCTAAGATATGAGAATAGCGATCTGCAGACATTGATGGATAGGTGCCGCCAAACGCCCCAATATAAATCAGTACCACCCCGTAATAACAGCCCCCAACTCTGGTGAATCACCGAATAAAACACCATAATCGATGTATATTTGATTACGTATCCAGTACAAATGACAGCGCGCTCGAGTTATTCAAGTGGTCTAGCGCTTTAGCCCCCAAAAAAGCTTCCTCGACGAAATTTGTGCATTTAATTAAAAAAAGGTAATCGAAAAAATACGATTAAAACACAGAGATAGGTGCGAGCTTTGCGAGTAGTTGTAGCGAAAATTAAATTTCCGACAGCATTGTACTCTCACCGCATGTTACCGTCAAATTTCTGTGAAAAGTGGAAAACTGTAAGTTAACCTGCGTCTCTCTCTCTGTTGTTTAAGGATTGTTTAATTCTGGGCGATGCTCAGATGTCGAGGATTCCGGTGCAGTTGCCATGACGACGATGTATATCCGGTGATGCGGTAGCGGAATCACTTTACCGGTTTGAACTCGAACGCGAGAACGAGTTACCCTAAATAGCGACTGATATTATAATCCACCAATCTTCAGTACTAGAGACGCCTATGATCATTTCGTTCTTTTCAGCGAGAGATTTTTTTAATAACGGGCGAAAAGCTGCAGCAGGACGAATTCAGCAGGATTAACCCAATTTTTGCCGAAATCAATTATTTAAAGTGTGATTTCTATAATTTGTGGAAAATCGGAGTGTTTTATTTTTCGTAGAAAAACCGTATTTTTGGCGATAAATGCCACTTGTTTTGCTGTTCACGTGTCGTCTTCCTTATCATAAATCA